GTCAGAGATTGACACTCCCTATGGTTAATCTCTTCAGGCTCTATTGCAGGAGTGCTGTTGAACTTGCTGCTACCTGCATTGGACTTTGTCTTCAAGAAAAAAACTGATTAACCTTGATTAATAGGGTGTTATAGTATTGTGGCAAGATCTCCAGTATCCAGCTATAGAGGTGTATTTGTTCCCAGCTAAAATCTGCTGGCTCAAATAGGACAGCTACTGTATTAACTCAAACTCAAGACAAGACCTTTTTTCCTGTTACCCTCAATCACAGCTCTGGCCCCACTCCACCCGAGGGCATAGATCAAACAGTGACCTTGGCCCTGCCTAGCAAAGCAATAGTCGTTGTAGCATTAACAGCTTCAGCCTCAGCTCCAACTCTGATCCAGTCCCAGAGCTGGAGCTGGGACTGGGGCTGCAGAGCTGTTGCCTACACAGGTGTTGCTGCCTGACTCTGGAACCACTATATGCTCTGTGCTACAGTCTGGAATGGGACCAGAGCCAGTGATGTGACTGAGGGTAAGGCAGTAGCCCCTTGAAAGATGCAGGCAGTTAGGGGGAGCAGAGGTGGTGGGGATGTAGACACCACAGGGGGGCTGGCACTAGGGGGTGCAAGCAGCAGGGGGCAAGTGCTAGGGGGAATAGGCAGGAGGCAAGTTATTGGGGACAAGGGGTGGGAATCAGGCTGCCTGCCCCCCTCTGTCTCCCCTCCCCCCCCAATCACTGCTTTCTTCTGCATTCTTCACTGCAGTGGTGGGAGGATGAATTTAAGATGCCCTTAACAGGTATGAAACTATGACCCTCCAATAATTAGATTTTCCATATATAGAATCTAGTTATCAGGAGAATTGTCTTCAATTTGAAGTTGTCTTGGCTTTGGGTAAATACAGACTGTCCCTTTCACACAGTAGATACAACTGCTGCTGCTTCTACTCTGCAGAAGTACATTTCACTTGAGATTCAGGGACAGGGAGAGCACTGCTAAGTCAGCTGATACTATTTATGTTCAGCTTCTCAGGTCTACAATCTGCTTTTCCGCCTGGGGGCTATATGGGAAAGATCTGTGGTAGTTCCTTATGCCCTCTCTTCCATTCTTTAGCTCTTGGGGTATGCCCTAGGCCATCTTGTGTTTAAATCTAAAACAGCAATCTGTATTTTTGGTAGATGTTGAGGCTTGTGAAAGAAAATAATCACCTGCTTCTAAGGGGGGAGGGCAGCATTTTCAATTCTTTTTTACTACGTGTGGCTTTATCTCGATTGTCCTTCACCACAAGAAGAGTGTGACAGCTGTCCAATGGGGAGGAGAAGTAGTCCTGGAGAGGGAAAAGTGGGATGTTCCAGGCTTGTTTTCTCTAGGGAAAGGGAAGACATACTTTTTTGCTCCTGCTGCCAGTTTAAAAAATACAGTTGGATAGATGTACCTAAGCTGTAATTCCTGGTGAGGTTCTGGGTGTCCTGTTGCAGAGCAGTTTGTGGCGAGCTGCATTTGGCTAGAGCCTCAGCAGTGGCTGTCTAAATGCACTTCTCTCAGACATCTGGGAAACTGGGTGCATTTGGGAGGGATTGGATTCTTCTGCTTGGTTGTGCCTGAGGTCAGGGGCACAGCTTGGGTAATGTTTTCTTAGTAACCTCTTTCAAGGGTTCTCAGAGCACATACTGCTGTTCTTTCCTTCAGTAAAAGCAGAGGGTGCCTATACATGTGTAGTGGGGTGCTCTGATGCATTATAACTACAGCATGTCAGAGTAGACTTGATTAATCAAATTACTGCGTATGGTAATTACCGTGCTCCAGCAGACTCCAGCATCTCGCATATTAGCATCCCCACACTGAAAAATGGCGGTGGGGACACTTTAACTAAAGCTTGTTCAATGAGCTTTAGTTAAAGTGCCCCTGCCTCCATTTTTCAGTGTGGGGACACTGATGTATGAGAAGCTTCAGGCGCTTTAATTAGAGCAACTCTGAGAGTCTCTCTAATTAAAGTGCCCTCCCCTCCCCTCTGCCACTCCTGAAGCCTGTGTATAAGTGCCCACAGTGCTGCAGTCTGGAGAATGGGTTCTGTTTATGTCTGTCATTGACTTACCTGTTGCCTTCGTCTAGTCATTTAAGCTTTCTGCAACATGGGGCCAAGTTTTCCCTGTTTCACAGGCAAGTTGAGGATTAACTTGTTCCTATTTATAAAGCACTGTGATCTCTGTGGAGAAGGCTTTCAACCTCCAGAGCATATTGTGGTGTTGTCTTGTGTTGTTGATGATTGTCCTTATGCTGAACTATCACCAAACTTGCACAGTTGCAGGTTATTTTTCCGGCACATTCTGTATTTTGGAAATTTTCTCTCCCCATTCCACTTCACAAAGCATTGCCTTGAATTAAGCTGAGTGTGAATGCTAATAAGAAGAGAAAATCCAGAAAAGAGGGAGAAAATGAACATACTGCTCAGGGACAACCTTGTGAAAAAGGGGAACGTTCTTCTTTGTTAGCCAAGCTCTGTCAAATGGGTCCATGGAGATATTATGGCAAGAGGTACTAATGCCTGGTCTCAGGTGGTGATGTAAAAATGTTCTAGGTCACTGTCTGAAAGCAATAAAGGGGTCTTAGTGGGATTGTGTGGCATGAAACTTCCAGTCTGAGCAACCATTCAAACAAATTCCTCAATATTGTAAAGCAGTTGCACAAAAGGATAGCCATTGTTCAAACTAACTTTTTTAGGCCAAAGGGCCCTTGATGATGAGCCTTGAGCTTAGAAGATTTCTCACGTGAAAAGGAAGGTAAAAGTGTGTTTGTACTGTTAAGATTGCAAGATTTAAAGAAAAAAGCCCAAGAGCTGCTTCCTAGAGACACACACCAGTAACTGTCAAAGGGACATTGCCAAAGCAGTTTGAACAGAGGCAGCCAAAGAAATCAGACTTGTGTTCTCTTTGTGAACAAGCTGATTGCACTAAGAAAATATCTGACTTTGTAAAGAGTTGGAAGATAAATTGGTAAAGCACTGGTCTACTTTAGACATATCTAAAATAATCCACATGGTTCCAAAAACTGCTGCTAAATGGGAAAGAGGTAATATTTCCCTCTTCCTGCAATGGCCAGTGTTGAAGAAGAATGATCTGGTCAGCACCTTTTCCTGCTGGCTTATTAAATATCATCTGAAAGGAAAATGGAGACTTATTGAGATGAGACAGCGGCTGTAAGACTAATTCTTCAAGAGAAGAGGACCCCAGGCAAGAGTCGAGTCAAACTCCTGGATCATCTGAGGTTTGTTTAGTTGTCAAAATATTGAGCGATTCCTGCCCAGGTCAAAGTGTCCCATGTTCTGCATCCTACTGCTTAGTAATGCTTTAGCTGTGAAATATATCTAGTGAATAGCACACTAAGGCAGACAGCATCGTGTAAACTATTGGCTCTGGAAAAGCAAAATACAGTATTGCCCACAGCAACATCACAAGCTAAGAAGTAAGCCTATGCTCAGTCCTTTGCGTCTTTGACAAACCTTTCATTGAGTTGTTTGAAGCTGAATTTTCATGCAATTTTGATATCTTTTGTCAGTAGATGGAGACCACAGGAACCAGAGGACAGACCAGTATTTACCAGTACCTTCAGCAATGTGAATGAGCAGCAAGAAAAATAATTAAGCTGCATTGAATGCAGCTTAATTTCTTGGGAGTTACAGCTGTGTTTAACTCAACATCTGAATCCTCCAGCTGTCACTTTTTAGTCTGTTGTCAGGCAATAATGCCAATGGTTTATTCTCCAAAACACTGTTGTATCCTAGAATCCTTATGTAGTGAATAATCCTTAGTTAAGAATATATATTGAGCCAGTAAAGATGGCAGGATTGGGGCCCATGAATGCTCTGTTACTATGTTGCTGTGCACGGCCAGGGATAAACTGAAAGAGTTAGGTCATATATAAATGTCAAAGTTGCAAAATAATAGCACTACTAATACTGGATAATTTGTCATCTTGGGATAGTCTGGTGTGTTGCTGTATAGAACCGTGGTTGCTGTATTTTTAATGTAAGAAGAAAAAAATGGCAGCAGATGTATTATATGCAGTAAGTAAAATTTTTCTTGTTGATGTAAACGGTCAAAATAGTAACTGGAGCATTGTTCTCACAAATCCTTGTTTTGGGGAAACAGTTTATGGAACTTTCCAAGCTCATTTATTTAAAAAAATTCAGCCAGCATGAAACACTTTTCTCCACTGGTTACAGGTCAAGCAAGTACCAATGCATTCTTCATGCACCTCATAGGAAAGGAAGTAGTCTGCTGGCAGGTCTCACTGCCTCATGTTAATGATGGTGCAAGATAGTGAAAGTGATTCTTTACCAATGCTGTACTTTTACAATATGTAAAAGGAAGATTATTAATAATATAATTGTGTTTGAGTGTATTACCACTACTATGCCTTTCTATAAGGCCTTTCAGCTGAAACTCAGCGGGCTGTATTCTGTTCCAACTATTAGGCATACAAGTGGATTTAGGTGCCTAAGTGCAATCCTGTTCCACTCTGTTCAAGTTTCTGAAAAACTGTTAGTACAAAACACAAGTGGGTCTTCTCCGCTTCTTACTGCCTTATTATAACTCAGCCTTAAGGGTAAAATGATTGTTTGTTACAAAAGGTAGCTATGTTAATGGATGTTCAGGGACTTGTTCAAGTGGAATAGAATCATGCTTAGCCCCCAATATCCCCTTAGATGCCCAATACATGGAATAGGATCAGGCCCAGAGTGCTCTATGAGCATCAAAGAATGAAGCCTTGCACCCTGAGGTAAGGAAATATTAGTTCTATTTTTACAGAAGGGGAAACTGAAGTATAACGAGAAATTGACTGTTCAACATTGCAGAGGAAGTGCGGGCAGGGCTGGGAATAGAACCTAGATCTCTTGGCTCACACTTCTTGTTCTAAGAGGATTTGGGTTTACTAGTTTGCCATTTCATTATGTTTATATTTGGTCTGTGCCTTACTATGCTGTATGTAACGGGAGGTTTCTGTGCATGTCTTACAGAGTGTCTGGAGGAGAACTTTTTGACTTCCTAGCACAGAAAGAGTCTTTGAGTGAGGAGGAAGCAACCAGGTTCATTAAGCAGATTTTGGATGGTGTTAATTACCTCCATTCCAAGAAAATTGCACATTTTGATTTAAAGGTAAAATATTAATCTAATACAACTAGCTAATTTAATATTGTAGCATATATTGTATTATACATTGTATAAATGAGGATACATAAAATACACCAGGTAATAATAAAGCTGAAGTGCAGAATGGTTAGTTGTTTGAACTAAGACTTACAGGCTTTCTGCGTTGAATAGAACTGGCAGCTCTCACTGGTAAGCAGCAATGCCTTCCTTCTCCTAAGATCTGACCTTTTTCTAATGGTGAAGAAACCTTACAAACATTACTGTTCCTTACTGTTTATATTGTACTGGCACCCAAAATATATCTGGGTTTTATAGACATATGAAAAGATGTATGGTATCTGCCGTGAAGAGCTCACAAACTAGTAAACTGCCCAAGTCCATTTTAAGTCATTTTTCCTTTGGTCTCAATAGTCCCATCAAAGCAATTTAATCTGACTGAACTTAATAATAATATATTGCAAAATTTGCATTGTAAATATTGGATTCTTATCCTGAGGCTTATTTCTGACAAGCCTGTTTCCTCCTAAATCCATTTTGCCTCTGTGCATATTTACATACTGTTTCCAGTCCAGCTAGAACTGTCTAGTTATTTTTTTATCACACATAACATAGACAACAATAGCAGCTGCGTTTAGAATTACATGAGGAATGTGGAACTAACTACCATAAACATTGCCACTTCTAGAGCTATGTATAAAATGTACAGTCCCTTACCATACAGGGCAAGGAAAGGTCAAAGCAAGACAGAGGAGTGAAGGACTTTTTAAAAGAAAAAAAAAAAAGAAGTAATTGAAGTGTTGGTTTTAGACTAGATCACATGTTGTTTATCCTTATTTTGAAACCTAAATTTGTTGGTGCCTTGTTCCTATGGTGCTCATGTTATGAATCAGTATGTTCCCAGGTTATCATAATACATATTCCATTCCAAAGTACCTGGGAATATATCTATATAAATCCTTCAAGTGCTGACAGTATGCTTGGCACTTTATGAAGATACAGAGAAGCTGCTAAAGGGCCTGGCACTATATCAGTAATAATTATTTCTTGATAGTTACAGTTAGAAAATGCATGTTGCAACTGAACTACTATCCAGATTTGGGTGCATATGGGGGTTGGGGAGTGTGCGTGCAAGACACATACTCTTATGTTTCAGCTAGTTACCTTGAGAACCACAATGCTTGTGTCCCAATGTTTGTGTCTGTACTTTACCCTAGAAAAATACTAGAATATGGAGTAACATAAACTAATAATGTGAACTTGAGTAAAATTTTCCCCATGCTGAGCTCTGACTACTGAAAAGTATATGTTCAATGTCATTAATATTTGGTGGTCAATAAGGACATTAGAGGAAGAACAGAAATGAACAAATGGAAATGAATAGGGCATCATTTACTAATAATGAAAGTGATTTAAAGCAGAATTGAAGAAATAGTTTATCTCATTGTTATTTTAGGACTTCTGCAGTGTTAAGCTAGGCATGTATTTTTAAGCAATAATGCAGCTAGGGAAATGGAGATCTATAATTATTTTGTTGCTGTTACTGATTTGAATTTTTTTTAAAAGGTAGAAAGTTGGCAGAACTTGAAAGGAGGACTAATGTGAAAGACAAGTTTTGTTGTTTTTTTCTGCTTGTTTTTCTGCTTGCTGCTTTTTTTTTTTTTAATAGCTTTCCCAAAGATTTGACTAAGGCAATGTCTGAAAAGCAAATGCTGCTGTAACAAACAGCTCATTGAACAGATGGAGATGGACAATACACCCCTGGCAGAAGGAGGGAGAAATGAATTTAAAGCATTTTATAAACACTATGGGCATTTATACATGTGCTTCGGGAGTGGGGGGGAAGCTTTAATTAGAGTGGCTCTGAGAGCCGCTCTGATTAAAGCGGCTGGGAGCATCTTGTGTATCAGTGTTCCCATGCTGAAAAATGGCCGTGGGGGCATTTTAACTTGAAAGCACACTCACCATCATTTTTCAGTGTAGGAATGCTAATACACGAGATGCTGGAGCATGGTAATTACCACGCTCCAGCAGACTTGATTAATCGAGTCTGCTCTGACCTACTGTGATTGCAGCACATTGGAGCAGCCTCGCTGTATGTGTATAGGTGCCCTATGACAGTTGAAAACTCTCTTCTCCTAAGGGTCCTATAAGTCTTAACACTGCTTATAGGAATAATGCAAAGCTAGATGGATTATATGTATATATGAAATCATGGAACTAATCCAATGCTGAAGAACTTTGTTCAGTTGCTCTTTTTTGTTAGTTCATTCAATTCCCTCCATTTACTCGCTTCCTATTGACATTGTGACCTCTTCAGGACAGGGCTTTGTCCTTTACATGATGTTTGAAAAGTATCTAAGGGTTTTCTTGTTGATTCCTTTAACTACTGATGGACTTGGCACTGTACAAAGATGAACAATAAAAACATAATAACAGTTCCAAATAGCTTGACACTGCATCAATAATGTTATCAGCTTGTACTGAAATTCTGTTGAAATTACTGGGGTAGTACTACATGGCAGGGTATGTTTTACAGCAGTCAAGAAAACTAAATTGTGGATGGAAAATGATGGATAATGGAAGCATTAATTATCCTGTGAACAGGGTAGCCATATACTTTTACCCAGATATATGAATGGAGTACAAAGGAAATCTATGTACATTTGTGTGTTGTTCTGACATCAAACAGTAAGCCACTTTTCCCAGTGCTTCTCCTTCCCTGCTTATCTGCTCTCTTGACCTCTTGCTAGTAGCTAGCATACCCTGTACCTTGCCATTTGCTCAAATCCAGAGGCATTCTTATTAACTTCATAGTTATTTAATTAATAACTAATACTTATGTTAAACACTAAGAACTAGTTCCCCGGGGTAGATTAGCAAAGCTGTATTGACTACAAAGGAGCTATACTGATGTATGCTAGCTAAGGATTTAGCCCTAAATGTAGAGATCATGCCAAATAACTTCCTGTCCTATATACTATGCTGACTCTAGTACTGTTCCAAATGCACTTCCATGACATATCTGCAGCATACCCTCCTGTCAGCTCTACTGCACTGAATGTCTAGAAAAAAATACCAGCATGGTTTGCCTGGAGCTAAAATCATATTGGTTCAGTAACTGTGAAAATAAATTATGCATACACCCTCTTTCCCTCAATGTGGAATGAGAATGTTTATTAGTAGTTGCTCCTCATACAGTAGACTGCTCTGAAACCAACAGGTAGCTGCCAGCAGGGAATCAAACTCTCTGACTTGCTCCCAGGCTATGAGTAAAATATGAAAAATTAATGCTTTGGAGCTCTTCATCAGAGCCAAATTGTGCCAGGCAGGTTGTTGTAATGTCTGTAAAATGGAGGAGGGCTGGGAAATGATTGAATCTAAGAAGCTAGTAGAAAATTAATACTTTGAAATATCCAGTAAGTACAGTAGAGAGCATAGAGTCAGAACCTCCTGTTGAGGAAATAAATGACTGTGCCTTTTATTTCCCAGTTTTGCCAACTTCAACTCTGTGCTTTTGGCCACATTACAGTGCAAAATATTGCCAGTATTTTTTATAATAGCTAGTTATTAGACATGAGCCAGAACCTCCAATCTTAACCCCTTCCATTTTTGGGTCTTCAGATACTAATCCCAGATCTGAACTTTCTTTGCTGTTACTATTCTCAATTTGTTCTCTTCTGGGTTAGTTTCAGATGGGGCCCCAAACCCCTCCAGAACTTTCTCACATGGTATCTGGCCATTTGAGACCAGCCTTTTAAGGTATCTGTTCAGTGTTAAACCACTGGTGGAGACAGATACAATTGCTGTAAACCAGGGGTATCAAACTCATCTGGCCTCATGGGCTGTAGAAGTGACCCAGCATTGTATCATGCCAAAATGCCCGTGCACCCTGGGCCCCCACCCATACCCTCCATGTGAAATCCAGTACTAGCAATGCTCACTCCAGGATTCATGATGCATGCAGTGTGCTTCCTAGAGTGGCTGGGACAGGTGCCACATGGGATGAGGACCCTGAAGCAGACATCGCACTACATGTAAAATACTTCATGAGGCACTCCTGGCCTCTGGTCTGGAACCATGAACAGCACTGGTCCCAGACCAGCTGGAGCAGGCACTGTGTGTGTTCCAGAGCCCCAGGGGAAGTGCTGAACACTTCAGACATTGGGACATGTTAACTTAGCTGTTTTCAAGTTTTTTTTGATGCTGAATGTCAAATTCCACAAATAAGTTTAGCAAAACAATGAACTCTACATTACTGGAGTAGGAGAGAGAGAGAGAATGAGAGTGTGTGTGTGTATGTATGTGTGTGCATGTGTTTGCACATGCACACTTTAACTTGTCCTACAATTTTGCATACATTCCAAGCATGTAAAGATGATTTAGGGGACTCTATTTGGGATCTCAATCTCTAAAATTACTAACAAATAATCTAACTAAATTTTTATGTTTAATTACTTCTAGCCTGAAAATATTATGCTTCTAGACCAGAATATCCCTATTCCACACATAAAGCTCATTGACTTTGGCCTGGCCCACAAAATAGAAGATGGAGTAGAATTTAAAAATATTTTTGGGACACCGGAGTTTGTAGGTAAGTGTTCAAGTAGTTCCTTTGTTGTATGTTCAATTGGAAAGTGTGAGAGAGCCCTTCCTGAAGTTAGACAGAAACCAGCAGCACCAATACTCTCCTAAACCTATGATCTCTGCATACTATTACATGTGAGATGTCCTGCATCTATAAGGCTTTTTTCACTTACTCATAAAACATGTGTAATAAGCAGGGATCTGGGCTTTCCGTTTGCCACAGAAAAATATGGATTTTATCCTTTAAAAGAGAAAAATGTAGATTTTTTCCTTTAAAGAAGAAAAGCCCAGGAAACAATGGGTTTCCTCTTGCAGGCTGACAGAGTTTTAGCCTGCAAGGGGGTGCTTGGGGCTGCAGGGGGGCGGGACATGTGCATGTGTCCATGCCAGGCAGCAGTGGAGAGCAGCTCCTACAGCTCCCTTCAGGTAAGTCTATGGGAGGAGAATGGGGAGAAGGCACAGGCCATGTGTTAGGAGTCTGGGGAGGGCAGAAGCGATGTGGGGTGGGAAGGGGCATGTGCCCTCACATATTTTTGCACCCATATCAGGGCACAGGGCTGCAATTGGGCCTCACCATCTCAAGGCAGGAGTCATCTCTACAGCCCAGAGGGCAGGACCTTGCACAGGAGGGAGTGCCGCTCTGCCATGGCCACCCAGGTGAGGCACCCCTTGCCAACTGGTAGTATCAGGATGCATAACTCCATGCTGTTGCTGTGCTTCACCTGGGTGGCAAGGCGATGCAGTGGTCCCTCCTGCGCTAGATCCCTCCCACTGGTTCAGCCTGGCTGTAGCCCCACACCCTGCTGTGGGAGCAGAAATCTAGGAAGGCACATGCTCCTCCCCGGCCCATCACCGTGCTCTCCCTGCCCTCCCTGTGCATGGCCTCTGCCCCCCTATCCTGTCACCTGTACCCCCCCGCCCCCTCTTCTTCATATATTACAGGGCTGGAGGCTGCAGGTTGGGAGTGAGGGGCACCAGCAGGGCCAGGGGGCTGTGGGCTGGGAGTGGGGGGCACCAGCAGAGCCAGAGGGCTGTGGGTTGGGAGTGAGGGGCAACAGCATGGACAGTGGCAGGGCAGGCCATCCGCATATCAGGCCTGCTTAGCACCACAAAGCAGTAGGGGTGGGGCGGGCAACTGCAGCTGGATCTGCATCGCAGTGAGCAAAGCTGGTATGGGAAAAAATCAAACACTAAAATATATAGGTATTTAGAATGTATTTTATTATAATGATTGAGGCAATGTTAGGCTTCCAAATTGCTCTAACATTGTAAATATATCAATAAAACATTGTGTTCAACTGATAGATAGATAGATAGATAGATAGATATGAGTTGGCGTGGCATTTCATTTTAATTCTGGAAAAACACAGGTTTGGGGGGAGGGTGTTAAATTTGCTATTTTTAAACAGAGAAAACCAGGTTCCCTAGTAATAATATACCTGTATTGGTATCACTGCTCTCTAGGTAACACTTCCTCTCCCTGAATATCTCCTTGCCATTTTTCCATGCTAATTCTCATGTTGCTACTTCTTGATCATATTTGATCTTGGTCCTCAGCCCCTTCCACACCTTCCAATCAGAAGTCTCCACAGTTTAATTTACTATCTCTTCCAGGTAATAAATGAGGCTGTTAAATAAACACTGATGCCTGCAGGATTAATAGACACCTCTTCACACCTCAATAACTTACTATTTCTCAGTCCTCCTGATTCCAGTCCTATATACGGATATTTTTCAATTAGAAGACCTTTTTTCTACACATGCTAAAATAATATTTGCCACGAGTAATAATGAATTGTGAACAGTCTGGAACAAAATCTTGATCCCCTGTCATACAGTTGCTTACTCAGTAACTGGTCAAATTTATTAAGTAAAGGCCAGGCAGTAATGACATTAGTGAAATGGCATTCTGAAAAAGAATGGGAAGAACATCTCAGACCCTTGAACAAAGGGATACTGGGATCTCTGTTTTGAGAAATACTGTGTTGGTGAAAGAATAATGTTGTGCCATTGAAAGCACATGACCTTGACCTACCTTCTTTGATCATTGTTTGTTCCCAATGACTGAATTAGTTCTGCTGTACTCAAGAGCTTTAATTCCTTCCATGATGTGCATAGCTTTACAACTATAAGCAGAAAGTGCCTCGTATAACTAGTGGTGTCTTTCTCAACTGAGGTGATTTTTTACCCAGACATACAATTTGTGTTGCTAAAAATAATTTCTCAATCAGTTGCTGATGTTTGATTAAATGTTCCTTATAGCTCCAGAAATAGTAAACTATGAGCCACTTGGGCTAGCTGCAGATATGTGGTAAGTTCTGAATTAAAGTTTTCCCTCATTTGCTGTCTTGTTGGTTTCTTCAGATTTGCCCTGTTCTTTATATATTGAACAGCCCCTACCCTCCAAGAAAACAGCTGTCTATTGTTCTTTTTTATATGCTATATCTGAATAAAATATTTAAAGTCCTGTTGGTGACTATTATGAGTTTTAATTTAATTTATATTACAAATCATTCCCAGATTAGCTGCTTTTGGAGAACCTGTTGAAAGACATGCCCCTGCAGTGCCTTGTGTCAGCTTTATTTATAAAATCTGTAAATAGAGCAGGCTTGGGGTACTAATCCAGTCTGCCTTATTGACATTTCTTTGTACTTCTACTACCATAAAGCCAACATGACCTTATATACATAAACATGTATATAAGTATCCAAGTTATACTGTATCCAGAATTACCTTCCCTTTTTTATGAAGAAGTAATATTTTATTGTAAGATTCTGAATTACCATTAATATCATGATTACCTGCCAATCTAACAGCTACAGATGACTGCTATACATATTCTAGAATTCACGTTTATAAAACCTACATTCAAGTGTCTCTCTTTTTTTCCTAGGAGCATAGGAGTCATCACTTACATACTGTAAGTACAGCATTACACCCACCTGTGTGGAAATAGCTCTAAAAAGTTGTAGTAAGCTAGTGAGCAGTTTTTCTCAT